CTGAGCCCAGTTATTAAAAATTCCTGCAGTCCACTTTTAGTTTCATCCTGGACCATTTAAGTAGTCTCCTACTTTGCCGATATTTTAGCCTCGGAATTTTGATGTGAAACGCGTTAATATTATAATGAAAGAAGTAACCCTTGGGGTTTGTGAGTTACATAGCAGTGGATACATCATAGCAGACATAATTAAGTAGCTTCTTTAACAGCAAAGGTTTTGTAAAATCATAAGACTCTTATGCAGCATTATGGTATCTAAGAATTATCATTTTATCCAAACATATGTACAGCAAGCCCTCCCACTGAAGCGCGCTTTTGGCCACTGGCAGAAAAGCTAAAGATGAAGATAAATATCTTTATATGTCCATGGTTATTGCTGACTAATGTTCTAAATAATTATCGGCACTGTTTATTGCGTTAAATCCTTCTTTTTAACTGTACTTTCTGTCAGCGCAAGTGACTTTTAGCGCGCCATGGGTGACGAATAATTCGTCACTGTTGTAGTACGCACTTACCAGTCTGTAATCGATTACCGCGTAGCGTTGACGGAATATGCATCCCTTCAGCGAGAGCAGCGAAAGCGTGCGCCGTCGTGTGTGTTGTAACTCCCTAAATGACCAGAACTTTGGCCCTCAGCAGTGCGAATGTATACCTTATGGACGACCTTTTTGTTACCCAGTATATCTTCCGAAGCTCCTTGAACTTCAACAACAAAAGTTTTGTGGTAAAACTATCGTAAGCATGAAGCGGAAAGCCACATATTAATTTCAATAGTGCAGTGCAGTAGCAGCGAACCCAAACCCCAAGTTGATTTTGAAGTACCAATTCTCGTCCAAACGAAACTTAAGTAGGAGGACTTTCAGCTAACAGTACGCATTATCTGATGCTACTACAGCATTATTGTGAGTGCGCTACTGTCGGAGTCTGTATACTACAAGCACAATCCTCGGAGTCATAGGATATTACAACGCACTTGGGGCCTAGTACATCGGCACAAAATGTGCCACTGATGGAGCCTATATACAACGACTACGAGACTTCGAGCCGTATGCTATTACAACCCAACTGGGCCCTATTACGTTGACACCAAATACGCTACTGATGGAGCCTATATACAACGACCACGAGACTTGGAGCCGTATGCTATTACAACCCAAATGGGTCCTATTATGTTAACACCAAATGTACCCTTTGATGGAGCTTATATATAACGAGCACGAGACTTCGAGCCGCGTGCTATGACAACCCACCTGGTTCCTATTACACTGGCAGCAAACGTGCTGCTATTCCAGTTCATCGTTTAAAATGCTGTAATCCCAACTGAGCGCAGAAACCGATAGGAAAACGGTGCATTGTATTTAACAAAAGGCAGCGAGAGAAGGTTCAGCGTTGTTCACTATATTCTTGCCTTGGACGCGCATGTCCCATGCAGGGTATCATTACACAAAGTCGTATTCATCGGCTAAAATATAATAGTAGTGCGACCATATAGCCTACTGTCGGGTAATTGAATGAGTTTTTACCTGATCAAGCTTTTTCTTTCTTTGCTTTTCCTTGACTGGGTTGGCATCCATATCGACGCTACAATGAAGTGAAAATGGGAGTATAAATTGCACCGAATAGCTTACTTTGGCACTCTATTCTGCACAATACCTCTGTTTGTGGGGAACTCCACGGCTCCCTTTCGATAATCTATCCATGAAAGCTAAGGAAATAGACCACTAGTACCAAGTGCATGCGCACTATCGGGTACGGTTTGTTGACTTGTACTCTTATCGGCGGTAATCTCATCCTGACTGCTTGCGCAGGAAATAGTTGTACTAAGCTGTCGCTGATCTTCGTAAGCCGGGCAGGTTGATGGGTAGAGGCAATCGTGAAATCCGGTGAGGGTGAACGGCCAACAGCTAAATATCGAAGTAAAATGTTGCTCTCTTACCGGTAGTACAGCATTGTACTGTTATCATGGGCATAGACGCCGTTTGTGAAGCGTTGACACAAATTGTACAACGGGCTCCGGATTGCACGCGCAAACACTTTCGATGGTAAAGTAACCAATTGTGTGCACACCGAACTGCGTCAACCACAACAGGCTTGTTGCATGTGAAACACAAATCTGTGGGCGCCATAATTTTGGCCAACGCGGTTGTTTCTTTGCACGTTGAAAGTCTGATGAATCACCAATTACTTCGTTAGTAATTCGCAATAGCTCTTGATAAAGTTCCGAAAATCCGGATGGATTAACCTCTTCAGCACTTCTCAGACGATGTGCAAGAAGTGGAATTTTTGACGTGGATGGTTTCGTAATGAGGACTTTCAACGTCCGCAAAGGCATGGACTCTGTGGGTAGGTTGTAGTCCACCAGCCAGCGAATGCAAATAGGTATTTGGCTTGTAAATGAATGCACATATCAGAAACAGCTTACTTGTCGGGTACGCGTGCTGCTTGTATTCCGTCATTAAATGCACACACGGAAGCCACAAGTTTCCTAAAAAGGACAGGTACATGTTCCCAAGGAGCAATCGACGGTGAAGCGGTTCCCCTGATACGGTATCTCAAACTATGGAAGCGTCAGAAATTTTTATTCACGTACCACTCCACCTCCAAGGTCCGAGTAAACTGCTTGTAACAAAGTTTGTGCTAAATAGCGCATCATTAAGTTGCATGCGTATGTGGTTACGAGGCGAACTACGCGATGAACATATGCGCTGTCTTTTAGTAGCTGACGGCTGTAAGAAAAACGCGGCATGCATCTGGGACTCTTTCAGGAGAACTTCCGAATGCGCCCAGACTTTGCGAACGGCTGCAACATGGCCATCCAATGCATGGGTAACTTTCTTCAATCGCAAGTTAGCATTCTCAGCTCGGTTGTTCGTTGTATGGCTAGAATGCACCAGTCCAGCTTGGGCGTGTTTCGCTCACGAGCGCTTTATGTACAACCAGTACAACGTAAGGCAGCGCACAAACCGGGGGTTTGTTCTTTGAAGGAGCTTCAAACATTGTTGAAATCTTAAACTAGAATATTACATATAGAAAGAGATTATAATCAGTCTCCGTGTCAGAAGTTGCCATGCGATGAAACAAATAATGCGACCGGTGAAGGTTTGTCTACAGAATGTGACGAAGAGTTAGCACTTACACTACTATTGATGGCCCGGCTGTTGTGGAAGTAACACAACAAGATGTGGCATTGAAAAACCGCGCCCGCTGCACGTATTTGAGCGGCCATTTTGTCCATCATTATTGTGCGGACGGGAATAGCACGACCCATGATATCCCGAAACGCTTGGAACAACGTAAGCAATGATGCGTAATCTTCCCGACGCAGAAACGCATAAAATATTGGCCGGCCGTACCGCATGCCGTCAGTTATTAAAACTGGTATAGTTTGAAGCTGCAAGCAACAAGGCCGCTATCACTTCTTACAGCAAACGAGTAGTACCATGAGTAGCGTCTACACAAACGACTTGCGAGAATCGGATGAACACTTCTATTTGTTGACGCCGAGCGAATAATACGTGTGCGCACAAGCCTTCCTCAGAAATACTTCGCGCAACTCCGGCTTCTTCCATAGACTTGATAACGTGATTCATTATTACTGCAGGAAGTAAAAGCTATCAAAATAAGCTTAAACTCAACGCCATGTCTCAGTTTACGACGAACATTGCGGACATTATCGCTGTTAATATGCTTTCGGAATCGCACTTCGACGGACGGCGTTCCGCTTGTTGAGGTGTTGTAGCGGAAAAGTTCCACTGACTGAGTGAACTTATCGTCCGGTAGACGGCGATTTATAGGATGTCGCTCAAAAAGAAGACGAATAACTAGGTGATTGTGAGACAGATCGGATGTTTTGACTTTCAGCTTGCGTCCCGTTCTAACGAGGTTAACGCGAGGTTGGCAGTTAGTACCACGTGAGCTGAAAGATTTAGAATACTAGAAGCGAAATCCTACTAAACACGTCTCACTCCTGTACTTTTTGACTTCCGACGTGTGCAGCGGAAACATAGATAAATGACCCTGTCCTACTTCACCCGTGACAGGTTACACTTTCTCTTGCTGTAGCATACGAAATTGACGTAAAGAAGAAGCATAAAGTCTGAAAACAAACCATTACACTCGTCAAAACTGTCAAAAGAACGCCCAAGGAAGATTCTCCGGAAATCAGACTCCGTGACGTCCGGATTCGAAAGTACTGTTGGTACAGCGTATCTGGTTTCCGGCACATTCAAACAATTGCAATATCACATTTGTACAGATAAATAAATAAATAAATAAATAAATTGTGTATTCTCGACTAAGCGAGGCACGCCTGCGCAGGCATGATCATGTTAAGAGTACAAAATGTGATCAGTTAGTGTATAATGGAACAATGGGATTGTTGCACATGTTTATGTATGAACGTATGTAAGTTTGCATGTAGGCGTGTTTAGATTTGTTTATGAGATTGGTAAATGTTTCCTGTCGTTTTGCTTGAATGTGTTTGAAGGTGTCGCCAGTGCTAAATGGATGCTTGATATCTGTGGACTTGAAGCGATCGTCCGGATAAGCAATGGGTGACTTTAGTTAGTGGCGAGTCACAACCGCCACGTCACAGTGTTGTTAAACGGACTTTTGTGGCTTTTTATAGGGAGAACGCTTGCCAGGCGAAAACCCACCACGTCCTGGAACACTGCCGCCGAACCATTTGCTGGAAGGGGGTAAACCCGAACCACCCAGCTGGCACCACGAGGAGGTTGTTCGGCCAGCCAGCCAACTAAAACTGCAAATGCAGAAAGATAGCCTGGAATAATGCCGTAAAATGATCATAAACTATTTACTGCGCGCTAAGCTTTGCGGGGTAACGGTGCGTATCTGCCTTCTGACACATTTAAACAAATGCAATATCACATTGCACAGAATTGAATAAAACTGCAAAGCCAGAAATATAGCCGGGTATCATGCCATAAAATGACATGAAACTATTTATTGTGCACTAGGATTGGTGGGGTGCGACAACGTCGCACCAACCAAATTGAGAGCGAAAAAACGGACCTTGTTCCCAGGTACAATCAAATGACTTTTCTGCTTGTAAGGAATTCCCATTTGGAGAAGTTCATTATGCAACAATGACATTGTGTTCTTTTGCATCCCTTAAAAAATGCAACGTTACATACGTGAAACGGAACTTACCCGCAGCAGTGCGCACATATGTATGCCGGCTCCCCATGGTATGCTGCGCAAGTTTGCTGAAACCATCTACAGCAAACATCCAAACTTATCCAATCGACTTGCTCCGACCTCCCACAGGCGTCCTCTTCTTCCTTACACAAAGCACAAAGGCGCTGTGCCCTTCTTAGGCAAAAGTGCTCCTCTTTGTGCGCCAAGTGTACGTGCGGTAACATGCGGATGTCATCCTTTTCAGGGTACGAAGATTTAAATCCCGTGAGATCATTGTGCAATCCACCACCTCTACCGCACGGGCTAACAAAGGTGGCTTTCGGTTCCGCCGCCTGCGGTCGTTGCAAGGAACCTGCGAAACACCAGCCCCTGGCGACACCAAGGGGATCCTTTCACGGACGTCCGTTTCCGGGGAATTTCTGCCGGTACGCGTACCATTGCCTGCCGTCACCTGGGTAGCTGCGCCGGAGGATGACGCCTGCAATCCTTGGAAGATAGGCAGGTCTTCCAACGATAAGCGTTGCAGTTGTTCCAACTTGGATGAGCACGCGTACAGCTGCACGTTACTGTGCCAAGCGAGCAGCTCATGCATGCATGCAAATAAGCCCATTGTGCGCTGAAACTCCTCTATGACTATACTCAGGTTCAACACTTCCAGACCAGCCAACATATCCCGAGTGATGCGAATTTTGGCGGGCCGGTCAAGAACTCCATCACTGGGGCATCGCACTTACGCCACCGTCATCGTTTCTTCTCTATCCTCCGAAAGGACCGGCGCAGATATACTTACCGCTGGCAACACCCAATGTCAACCACGAAGCACATCCTGCTCGTCGTACGCGTGTAGGATTGCCACGTAAATAATGTGAGCACAAGGAATGCGCCACCGCCGGTTAAATCTACATCGCATGCGCTGCCATTGCCGATGACCACACGTTGCATGCCAATGCGCTTGTCTTCCACCAACCAATACCCGCCGCCTTGGTTAACACTGGGAAGGCGAACTCGAACACTGTGCCGCGCGTACTGCCGCCATGCGTAGGACGACATCCTGCTCAATATCACGTCCCCACTGCTGACACCCCGTTCAACCTTGCATATACGAAGCTGACCTCTGGCAATCACTGTTTCCCTCTCCTCAATGATGCCACTAGCACGCTGCACTATCACCTGAACAGGTGAAGTAGGGTTGACCGCTCGCTCAAAGTTTCTTTCAGATGCTTATTCTCATTTTCAACGCGATTCGTGCTGTCACCTCCGAATAATACCTCGCGGCTCATCAAATGCGCTGCCCAGCTAAGGCGCCATGGGCCCCATGTACGAAGGAGGTATTGGAAGCATTCAGCGCTACGCAGAGATATGCCTTCCATAATCCGATGATAATGCGCGCCATCGTGCGTGTACAACAACGACTGCAGCAGGTTGAACGGAGCCCTCTTATCTTCCGTGTTACAGAACGGAAGGTGGGAGCAACGCCGCTGCATGTCACGCATAATGTGTACACGGCAGAATATGATGTTCTCAGTGGGTACGCCTTCCGAAACACATTCACTTGTGCGGTGCACCTGTCCATCACCAAAGTCCGAGCACTGGCAACAGCGGGTCCAATTCCAACATATCTCTTACTGCCTCTTCGTAAGCCACCTCCGTCTCATTTGGCAACAGCGCATAAAAACACATACCCAGGCTGTTAACGTCCACAAACATGCAGTACCATAGGATGTAGCCGCCGTAATTGATCTGATATGTGGAGTCCGCCAAAACTACCTCCCCGTATTGGCTCACCAAATGCAGCATGCGCGAAGGGACGAAAAACAGGTACCGTATCTCATTCCCCTCATGCATAATTTTCACCTGATCATTTCTTTGTAACAGCTGTTTTACCTTCTGCACCTTGGTGACACAAACGTTACGATGACGCCGTCGTATGGCATACAAATGCCACCTTTTATCGAATGTTATATTGCTGCCGCACAAATGCACGCATCTCCTGGGTCCGACGAAAGGTTTTCATTAAGTTCAGCACCAAACGTTCCTGATCTCCTGTTAGCCTCCGCTTTCTCACATACAGCCAGGGCTTCCCAACGTAAAAACTGTGCGATTGCCACAGAAACGCATTCCCATTCTCATAAGATTTGCCCTTAAACGTCACAGAAAAACGTGCAGGGCAGTCGTAACAGCGGTATCTATAGTAATCTTCTCATCAGGCAAACACCATGCACTTACCGCTTTCCATGCACACATCGAAACCAAATCTACCGGTATGGGCATCCTTCCGGTAGCACCTGTCCGGTCTCCCTCTGGTACGTCTTCGCAGTTACAACGTTCCGACGAACAAACGATGTTGCCGTTTCAACCTGAAACACTTTCAGATCCTCCTTCACCGATGCGAAGTCCAGATAAGGACCCTTAAACATACGTCGAAATATAAGCGAGGCATCCACCATGGCTGTCACGCGTGAAGTGGGAAATGAATAACCATCGTAACTCATTTAAACTCCATAGTATTTTCATTACTAATTGAGGTCTTTGCATTTCAGCATGCATCCTACATTATTAATAAACATTACTATGGGTTCTACGACCCCAAATTTACCTCCCATCACCCGCAACTGGCTGCGACGTAGTCGCAGCACCGTCACTCCTCAAAACCTAGTGCGCAATAAATAGTTTCCTGTCATTTTATGGCATGATTCCCGGCTATCTTTGTGGCTTTGCAGTTTTGTTCAATTCTGTGCAAATGTGATATTGCATTTGTTTAAATGTGTCAGAAGTCAGCTACGCACCGTTACCCTGCAAAACCTAGTGCGCAATAAATAGTTTATGGTGATTTTATGGCATTATTCCCGGCTATCTTTCTGCCTTTGCAGTTTTATTTAAATCTCTGCAAATGTGTTATTGCAATTGTTTAAATGTGTCGGAAACTAGATACGCGGTAGAAACAGTATTTTCAAAGTCGTACGCCATGGAGTCTGATTTCCGGAGAATCTTCTTTGGGCGTTCTTTTGACAGTTTTGACGAGTTTAATAGTTTGTTTTCAGACTTTATGCTTCTTCATTACGTCAATTTCGTACGCTACAGCAGCAAAAAATGTAACCTGTCACGGGTGAAGTACGACAAGGTGATTTATCGATGTGTCCGCTGCGCTCGACGGAAGTCAAAAAGTACAGGAGTGAGACGTGTTTAGTAGGATTTCGCTTCTATTATTCTACATTCTTCAGCTCACGTGATACTAACTGCCAAGCTCGCGTTAACCTCATTAGAACGGGACGCAAGCTGAAAGTCACAACGTTCGATCTGTCTCACAATCACCCAGTTAATCGCCTTCTTTTTGAGCGACACCCCATCAATCGCCGTCTGACGGACGATGAGTTCACTCAGTCCGTAGACCTTTTCCGCTACAACACCCCAACCAGCGACATCAAGCAGTTCGTCGAGGTTCGATTCGGAAAGCATATTACCAGCGATGATGTCCGCAATGTTCGTCGTAAACTGAGACCTGGCGTTGAGTGTACGTTTATTTTGATAGTTTTTATTTCCTGCAGTAAAATTGCCTCAGGTTATCAAGTCTATGGAAGAAGACGGAGTTGCGCGAATTATTTCTGAGGAAGGCTTGTGCACACACGTATTATTCGCTCGGCATCAACAAATAGAACTTTTCCGCCGATTCTCGCATGTCGTTTGTGTAGACGCTACTCATGGCACTAACCGTTTGAAGTAAGAATTGATAGCTGGCTTACTTGTTGCTTGCAGCTTCAAACTATACCAGTTTTTAATAACTGACGGCATGGGGTATGGCCGGCCAATATTTTATGCGTTTCTGCGTCGGGAAGATTACGCATCATTGCTTACGTTGTTCGAAGCGTTTCGGGATATCATGGGTCATGATATTCCCGTCCGCACAATAATGATGGACAAAATGGCCGCTCAAATACGTGCGGCGCGCGCCGTTTTTCAATGCGACATTTTGTTGTGTTACTTCCACATCCGCCAAGCCATCAGGAAGCATGTAAGTGATAAATCTTCTAATCATTCTGTAGACAAACATTAACCGGTCGCGTTATCTGTTTCATCGCATGGCAACTTCTGACACGGAGACGGAGTAAAATCTCTTTATATATGTAATATTCTTGTTTTAGATTTCAACAAGATTTGAAGCTCCTTCAAAGAACAGACCCCCACTTTGTGCGCTACCTTACGTTGTACTGGTTGTACATAAAACGCTCGTGGGCGAAACACGCACAAGCTGGACTGGTGCATTTTGGCAATACAACGAACAACCGAGTTGAGAATGCCAACTTGCGATTGAAGAAAGTTACCCATGCATCGGATGGCCTTGTTGCAGCCGTTCGCAAAGTCTGGGCGCATTCGGAAGTTCTCCTGAAAGAGTCCCAGATGCATGCCGCGTTTTTCTGTGACAGGCGTCAGCTACTAGAAGGCAGCGCATATGTTCACCGCGTAGTTTGCCTCTTAACTACGTACGCATGCAACTTAGTGATGCGCCATTTAGCACAACCCATGTTACAAGCAGTTTACTCGGACCTTGGAGATGGAGTGGTATGTGAATAAAGATTTCTGACGCTTCCAGTTTGAGATATCGCACCAGGGAAAACGCTTCACCATCGATTGCTCCTTGGGAACATGTACCTGTCCTTTTTATGAAACCATGTGGCTTCCGTGTGTGCATTTAATGGCGGCATACAAGCAGCACGCGTATCCGACAAGTAAGCCGTTTCTGATATGTGCATCCATTTGCAGGCCAAATACCTATTTGCATCCGCTGGCTGGCGGACTACAACCTACCCACAGAGTCCATGCCGTTGCGGACGTTGAAAGTCCCCGTTACGAAACCATCTACGTCTAAAATTGCACATCTTGTACATCG